ATTTAGCGAACATCTAACGTGTCCATTCGGTTGAGAGAAATAAATTGTCTGCGGGTGTCTGTAATCAGAAGCGAAGGATGACAAGGATCACTGGCTTCGAGAGCCTAAACAAAGGTTAGAGACTTGAACTGAAACAACATAAATTAAATGGGATGTTCCAGAGATGTTCATCTGGAATTTTTAAACACTTCTTAAGGCCTTTAATAACCTTCGCTGTTACGTGGAACTCTAACCTGGCAATGTGCAATCTTCGCCTTTCCATGGGACATGCATTTGAATCTGCTCCCTGGCTTTGATGTCCCAGGCCATCAGTAAGTGTGAATACTCTTAGCCCGCTTACTCTCCCTGGCATTTTCCTCTGCATTTATGCATGACCATTTGATGAAGGCCCTTTGTGGGGGTTTGAGTGTGCGGGAAGTTCCGTGTAATAACCAATTCGGAATGGCACATATTCACAGGCATGTCACTGTCCTAGTAGAGACAAACTTTTGCCACTTTTTTTTTTAATCCTACTGCCACCACACACTTTCATTTGAGCCATCCCATTCTCATGCCATCTATTTCCCAGGCACTCAGGCTGATTAAAATGCACAGACATTCCCGCAGCTTCAACAATAACCAGGAAAATTTTCACCGGCAACACAACAGTTTTCACCTTTAGTTGGCGCAACGACCATCGGCAGTAATTTTGTGAGAGGTTAAAAATTTAAAGAAAATTTTAAAGATATTATAGGGAAACAGAAAACTTAAATTTACATTTTGAAACATACATTAAAGATTAGATGAAATATTTCAAAATGCGGGAAACCCCCAAATCTTAAAAAGTAAACAATTTCAGAGTTTACATTGCTGAGACTAAAATCTTTCCTTGTTTTGCATTTTTCAGATGATTTAACTGGACCAACAAATAGCTTAACGCTGTGCTAGCTGCCTGGCGAAATGCGTTCAGCAAACAAACATATATCCGTACATATGTACATACATTTGTGTAAATTATATTTCTTGTATGCATTTTCCCGTCTGGCCTTGCCATTAAATACTCGGCATTCTTGAGCGGATTGCTTTGCGTCCGGCAAAGATGCTTAAGTTGGTCGCATAAAAAGTGTTATTAAAAGCGAATATAAACAATGAGGAGACTCGACTCTCGTGCTTATAACTTTGTTTCTTTTTTTCTGTACGCATTAAAATGCCGACGTCTGGCGTGTGGTTTTCCCCGCTTTTCCCTGGTTTTGTGGCACATTGACATCCATATATTCCATATATTCGTTTGATGTGCAACAGTTTGCATTTGTTGTACACATTTTTCATTGCTTAACTCACGAGCCCTTAAATTGTGTTATTACAAAAAATTTCATTAAGCACATTACACAATTTTATGACAGCAACAAATTGCAGCCTCAAATCGATGGATGGTTGGAGGGTTGTGGGGACAGGGAAAACATTTTTTCGCTTCCGCTGAGAATTTGGTTCGCTCAGATTTCCTTTATTTTTAATCTGAAAGTCAAGGCAAACTTGGCAACAGTTGCCAAAATGAGCAGGAGCAGAAGCAGTAGCTGGGGCGGCATATCCTTGCAGACTTGACAACCGGAGCGAAGGCGAATCAAAGAAAAATTTGCTGATTTTCATATCAGAAAAAATTGCCATCGTTGGCACAAAAAATCGTTTGCCATTTGCATCAGCAGCAGCAGCAGCTCCCTGCTCCCTGCTCCCAGCTTATCCCTCAATGGCACTCTATTGAATGAGAAGTGCAAATATAGTATCTCCTACTCCCTCGCTCTCACATTCCATCTGATTTTATTGATATTGTGCATAAATTAACTTTATAAAGTTTTTTGAATTGAATCTGCAACGAGTTGCACTTTTCAACGCGGCCCACACACTAACCCAAGTGGGCGGAACAGACCCCGAGGGAGAGTGGAATATAGACCTCTTCAAAAGTCCTTTGGAATATAGATATAAGGGTTGTCTGACACAGAATTCAAACTTCAGACGAAAGCCATTTAACAGCCAGCCAGATATTGACGCGTTTAGCTCGTACAAGTATCAATTATAGATACTTGTGCTTATGGATACTCAAAGAGCTTAAAGATTGGGATTAAAACACATTAAAGCTTATGAAAATCATTAAATATATATGCAAATATTTATTGAAGAGAGGAAATCAAAGGTTTTTATACAATAAAATAATTTAAAAAGTTTTTTTGCTAACAATCTTAACCCCTCTAACTCTCTTGTTCTCTTTAAATTCATCTTAAAGAATCATTACTCCCAAGAAAATACTCAATTCATGAATATGGAAACTTGATTACAACGGGTACTTCAATATACTTTTCTGCATCCCGATTTTATTCACTCCATCGATCCGTGTATTATATGCACATCGTGTAGCTTAATGGAACTGAAATTGATTTACGAAAACACTTCAAACGGCTCAAGTCCAATTTCGATTGCATTTGGTTGGTGCATTGGGTAGACGTGAGGTCGTCAGCACCACCAGCAGACCCACCAGCAGACTCCCCACCGCCCACTGTCTCGCAGAAGCATATGGGAACACCTACCCTTAACCCTCTACGATCCGCGTCCCTATATCGTCCTTTGGGCATAAACGGTGCAGTGCAAATGCCAAGCAGAGTCGATATAAATTCATTTATTCATGAGCTCGAACCAGGAAATGAATGGGGGCCACCTGCCGCCCACACTTACTGCCATTTGTGAATATGTGTCTCCACGAAGAAAAATGAATATAAATTTGTAACATGATTAAATTAAGGGAGTGAATTTGTATACTTACTAAAAAAAGTCCTAAGGAACTTGGCAGATCTGAGCTCACCTTTATTTGAATATTAATTATAATATACATATTTTACATGATTTAATTTGCTTTTATACTTCTTTATAGAAAATGTTATTTATTGGTTTATATTTTATATTTCCAATTATTTTACAATCAAGTATTTATAATTATTTGCAGTGCATGTTTATGAATCAGGCTGTAAGGACAATCATTGAGACAATTCTATGAGCTCTGAAGCCGAATCGCGTTGTCCCCTTTCGTTCTCACATTTGATTCTTAGAAATTATGAATTATGAGGCCAAAAAGTTGCCAAAAACTTGCCTGGCATACAATGGTAACCCCACTCTACCCCAATTTTCTTCTTTTCTAACATAACGCAAGTGTTTGAAGTTGTTTGCCTGAACTTAAATTGTGCGCATTATTGGCAGAGTGCACTCAAATGCACTCACTCGCTCCCACTCACTGGCTCGCTGCATAAATTTGCGCCGAAAACCGTTTAAACAAGATATGGCCAAAAGGGGGTAGGGGCATGGCCAAAGGAGAGGAGGCGTCAAGTCTCGGCAATCGCTGCAAATGCATGCGAATACAAGTGCCTCGCTGCACACAAATAGCAAAGAAACACACTCCCAGGCACAAACACACACAAACACACACTCGCCGTCTCCATCATTTCTATTCACAGCAGACGCTCAACTTTCACTTTGAATTTGCCAAGTTTGTGGCCCACTCCGCCGCCCACCCCCTGCCCCCCTCTGCCTCTTGTCGATTTTGAAAAGTCCTCTTTGCCGTTGCCTTTGCACGGCTCTGCCTCGCCTTTGATTTTAAAGATTTATCGTGTTTTCCGTAGCATACTTATGTGCGCCATTTGCATATTAATGGGACAGCTGCTACGCAGATGACAGCATTCATAGGCGCTGGCTAACAACTAAACCCCTTAAATACACCTCTTAAATGGCAACAGGAAAAATAGGGAATAATTCTGGCAAGGAGTTGTGATAATGTGTGGGAATATTTCTATAAGAAGTCGGAGTGAAAAGAATAAAGATGCAACTGATCAGGCTTACTTTTTAATTAAATTATTAAATTCTGAAATAATTATTGATCATTAAGTAATATATGCCTAAAGTACTTTCTTAGGTACTACATTTTAAATTTAAACTAATAAAAACCTAACTTACTAGCTTAATTAAACTAGAAACTGTCAGCATTCTCTACCAAATAAACAACTAAGCCTTGCCTAAAACCCCTTTTCTAATGGTTGATTTTAACCCACCCATGGGTTTAACTTACTGACGCACTTTAACCATAAAACCTTGAGCAGATTATCAATAATTCCAATTGCGAATCTTTGAAACTGAATGGTAACCTTGCCTCCGCCCGAAATCTCTAAAATCTCCAAGGGATTATTGTGGTCAAAATGTCAAGTAGAAAACTCTTGTGCTTAATGGGAAAAAAATATGAAAAATTGTACACAGCTTGGTGACCGCACCGGGACCGAAAAAGCCATACAATTTATATACATAACGTATATGCTCATATTTGTCACAATATTCCCTGCTCGTTGTCACTGTTGTTGTCGTCCCCATTTCAGTTCCTGCACAAATTCAATTGAATCAAGTCATTTTTATTTGTTTGGCAACTTGTAGACATACACACAACGGCGAACGAGAGCAGCAACGAATCAAATTCTGTGAAAAGGGTTTCCCCTCAAAACTTGTCTGCAATATGTCCTGCGAAATATCCATGTGTGTGTGTGTGTGTGTGTTGTGACAGGCAGAAACTGTTGTTGAGCAGTCAGTCAGTCAGTCAGTGAAGGACTTGCATTGGTCCCATAATAGCCGATATTAAATGCACTCCGAAGTGGGGCTCTGGCAGGGACAATGGAAATGATTGAATTGCCATATTGCAACCATGTGGCAAAGTGTAGCCCCAGGCAGCTCCAGACTTGTTTTGCCTTATTTCTTTTTTGTTTTTTTTGTGTATCCAGGAACAGGAAATCTAATCAAATCACTCAGTTTGAGGGCTTAATCAGACCGAAAACCCATCTATGGCTTGTCAATTTATGGACTCCAGCTGATAAGGAAATGGTTAACTTGTGGAGTGGCCAGAGAAGCTTTATTTCCTTTTTGATGTCTTGAAGCTTATTCCTAATTGTTGAGCTAATTTTTATAATATATAAACTTATTATTTCTCTTTATTTTTGCAGTTCTGGAGCCGGCATTTCCTATGCGCGATGTGAACATAAATCGTAATGTCGATGCCCATAAACTATACGATGTCCTCGGCGAGGTGGGACGGTGAGTACTATTCTTACGGATCCTGGATCTATACACACCTTTTACCCATTCCATAACTAATCGATTTTAATCCTATGTGCAGCGGCAAATTCGGAACTGTGTACAAGTGCCGGGACAAGGCCAACGGCCTCCAGCTGGCGGCCAAGTTCGTGCCCATTCCGAAGCGAGAGGACAAGCGGAATGTGGAGCGGGAGGTGGAGATTATGAATTCATTGCAGCATCACCTCATTATACAATTGTACGCGGCATACGAATATCAGAAAATGATGTGCGTCGTCCTGGAACTGTAAGGAAGACTTCCCAAGCGCCCCAAAAGCCCATATGAAATGAATGTGTTGACTTTGTTTGTCCATGTCTATGTCCCGTGGGTGCAACTCCCCCTATCTCTTTTTCTCTCTCTACATGGCTGTCTACATATATTCTTATACTTTATAAGGGTGAATCGAATTGAATGAACAGAAATTGGTTAGGAAAAGGTTACTTAAAATATGATTTCTCTGCAAAAATATAATTTAAAATAATTTAAAAACAATTTTTATTATATTTATATATATATATATAATAAGGTTTAACTATAACTATAAATATTATATATTATAAATATATATATAAAAAACACTGTTTATCGGCAGAAGCCTCGAATTTCTTGCACATATCTTCAGTTTTGTTAAAATTCCAAACCAGTTCTGACTTCTGCATTGATAATTAATTTAGAAATTTGATAAAAAATAATATTAAAAGCTCCTACACTTTAATTTATACTCAAAAACGTTAATTGTATTAAATTTGTAATATAATTCCCAACCAGTTCTGGCTTTTGCTTAGACTCTTCTCAAAAAAACCAGTTTAAGTAGGTAACTTAGTATCAATTAAGGTTTAAAATTATCCTACAACCAAAAGTAAGCCATTTCCTTAACAATTTCTGTTCATAAAATTCGAATCGCCCTAATGTTTATATTTGTAGCCCACTATTTCACTATTTGTTGAGTTTTTTTTTCCCCTTTTATGTTGTTGTTTGTTGTCATATTGTTTTCGGGGACACAATATCTTGCAATCAGTGGGAATGTGCATAAAATGCGATTTACACGTACGCACATTATCGTAAACTAGTAAACTTTCCGCCCCAAGCACCCACACACACACAAACGCAGACACAGACCCAAAGGAAATGCCAAGGAAAGCCTTAAGCAACAGGTTCTCTTCTTCGCACTCCGGCGGCATTTATACAAATTTATAACAACTTTTATTCGCCTCGCGAAAGTTTGCGCCCAGCCTCCTTTTGTCCGCAAATGAATGCTGACATGGGTTAAGGGTCTAATGGCCCATAAAAACATTTGAGGCAGGTGCTTCGTCCCACTGATTAGTCAACGGCCTTGACCCACATTCGCCGCCCATTGGGGAAATAAAAGAGTAGAAAGAACACGACGTGAAACAATTTCATTTCCAAAGCAGTCTTTGTCAACTTAAATTAATTTTCCACAAAACAAACACAAGGCACAACTGCACTTGGACAAGTTGTGTTGCTGTTGTTCTTGTCACTTGTTCGCCCACAAGAAAAGTTAATTGTTCCCTTGCATAGTTCTCCTTGGCATCATATTCATAACAGAATGTTCAACTAGGTCCGGAATATTTCAACAAGGAGAGGAAAATTCCTGGGCCATAAGCTGCAAGGAACATGGCTGGCATCCAAGGAAATTCATGGTGTGCCATTAAACTATTAAGTTTTCCGTCTGGGAAAAGCTGCTAAAGGGTGGAGCGTAAACAAAAATACCCAGAACTCAAACAAAGTGAGAGTATTTTAAACGAAATCCAAAAGCCATAGTCGTCATTTCACCATAAATATTTAAACAAATTGGCAAATGCCATGCAAAAGCTATGAAAAGCATTGGGATAAAAGCCTCAAAGGATTTTGTTAACTAAAAGGATATTCGTGGAGATCAGAATTCAATGAAATGCCGTTTAAATCAGATTACATTTGAGTATTAAACTTACAAAATTATCAGTTGTAGGGGAAAATGAGTTCTAATTAGAAGGAAAATTGACGAAATAAATTTCTGTAAGATCAAGTTTTATGGCAATGACCTTTAAACACAATGTATTCATACAAGAGTTTTAATTTTAAAATAAATCCAATTGGATTTTTACTGTCAAAATCCCACTGGGTTTTCTAGCATCAAACTAAATATTAAATTAATTCCTAATAGAGAGCTTTTGAATGACAAAGTAATGACTGTTATAGGAGTCAACAGGCATCCATAAACCGGCATAAAAATATTCCATTTCACACATGAAATGCCCAGGGTTTCACATGAAATTTTAATATTGTCGATTTCGGGGTGAAGTGCATCAACTAACTAACAATCCAAACAACAACAAAAAAATCAGAGAAAAACGAATGCAGACAACAGGCTTTTCTCTCATTTTTAACCCAACATTTATCATGAGCATCCGATGGATGATGGCAGGACTTTTGTTTTCTGTATTTCGTCGACATGCAACATTCGACATTTGGATATCGAAGCAAATCTCGGTTGACATTTGTCGAGTGCCTGAACATAATTTCCTCCGATTCCATGTCGGCATGCCGTTAGTTGATGCCCGTCACCCGTGCGGATGGATTGATGTTCATGGATTATCTGATTTTCGTGTTCTGGCAGAGCAATCGGTACTCTTGTAAATAACATAACTAGCTTAGGGTCAGGTAAGGTAACTAAAAATCAATCTAAGCCGATCTAAATCTGGTTAACGAGAAGCAGGAGGAGAGACTAATTGAAAGGCGATAACTTTGCTTTTGGTGCTTGGCTTGCAATGTGTTTTTGTTGTTCTGTCTTTCTTGGTGTTCTTGTAAAGCGATTTTGTTTTAAATTTTGCATTTAAAATGACTTTTTAATTGGCATTTCACAGCATTGAAGGTGGTGAGCTCTTTGACCGCGTGGTGGACGATGAGTTTGTCCTGACCGAGAGAGTCTGCCGGGTTTTTATACGCCAAGTGTGCGAAGCCATGGCTTTTATACACGGCAATGGCATAGTGCATCTGGATCTGAAGCCCGAAAATATTCTGGTGCTCACACAGAAGGGCAATCGCATCAAGATCATAGACTTTGGACTGGCCCGCAAATTCGATCCAGATAAGCGTCTGCGGGTGAGTGATATTGTGGGGAAATTATGTGAAATATATATTTTAAATATATTATTTTTTAGGTACTCTTCGGCACACCTGAGTTTGTGGCTCCGGAGGTTGTGAACTTTGACTGTATATCGTATGGAACCGATATGTGGAGTGTAGGTGTAATATGTTATGTGCTGTAAGTTTCCCTAAATGTTAAGGGTTTTTGAAATATTAAGAAAATATTTTCTAAGCTTAACTCTAGAATGTTATCAAGAAAAGACCTAATTCTTTTAAATTTTGAATTGAAAAATCTAATATAAAAATCCACAAATATACACCCAAACTCTCTACCCTTAATAATACCCTAGACTTTAGCTTAGAAAATATTTTCGAACAATTTGTTCTCTAACACCCCAGCAATTAGAAATTTAATCAAGACCGGCAGCACTCATATCTTAAGGGTTGGTACTTGCAAGAAAACCAATTAAAAATGTGTACAGCTAAAAATGTAATAATCAAAAGAGGGGTCGGGACTCTGGAGGTATCTCCTTATCCTCCGCATCCGTTTCCGTTTCCCTCTCGCCCTGAGAAAGGAGTGTGAGCCAATTTAATTTAGTTAATTAAGTGTTGGTTTGTGTTTTTATTTATTTTACTTACGCTGCCTTTACATTTCATGTTTATTGACTTTGCCACGCCCCCGAACTCACACCGCAAAACACACATTCACACAACCACCCACATATGATACGATTTGGATGTATATATGGTTGGGGCTTGGAACAGCATCTCAGGACTGTCGCCTTTCATGGGCGAGAACGACATTGAAACAATGTCAAACGTAACCATTGCGAAATACGACTTCGAGGACGAATGCTTTAATGGCATCTCCCCGGAGTGTCTGGATTTCATAGCCAAGCTGCTGGCCAAGGACCTGAGGTGGGTATTCCCTTTCTCCCCCCCCTAATTAGAGACACATCCTAAACTCGATTCCCCTGCTCTCGCCACACAGCACTCGCATGACAGCCGCCGAGTGCATGAAACACAAATGGCTACAACAGCGGCCGGCTGCCGCTGCCTCTGCCACGCCCATTACAAAGGCCGCCTCTTCGGCGTCCAAGTCGCGCCTGAAGTCAGAATCTCCGGTGACGGCGGAATCCTCGGAGGAATCCTCCACGGAAACCATCGAGGACGGCGACGACGAGGAGGAGGAGGAGGAGGCGGAGGTGTTGACGGCGGACAAGAACAAGGCCCAGGACGATGGGCAGGATGAGGAGCTGGCCAAGCTCTGCAGCGCCGCGGAACTGGAGGTGAGTAATTGGAGCAGAAAGCCCGTCACGCTAACAAACAATCAGCCAGGTGTCATATTACCAGTGATGGTAGTCCTAGGAACCAAGAACCTAAACATAAGCTTTAGTAGATATCAAAAGGTTTCCAAAAAAAACCTTAGGATCTTATTATAAAATATTAAAATTTTTAAATATTTATTTTTTTAAATTTTTCATATTTGTTTTTCTTTAATATTTACGCACATTTAATTCGCATCACTGTCCTGTTGCAGAACAAAGAACTGGATGCCACAAAGGACAACCTGAAGAACTTCATTGTGCGCTGGGAGACGCATCCGAACAGTCCGTACGTGTTCGACGTGGAGGGCAATGTGATTGCGCCGCTGAGCGAGACGAGTTACCCACATCCGCGGCGGACCCACGGCCCGGACAGCATGTCCTCGTCCCGAGGTGAGTACGGATCCCAGCGACAGCGCGACCGCCATGCCCTCATCCACGGCAAGTGAGGCATCTGCATCTCCAACTGCATCCTGCCACCGGATCAACATTGTATATTACACGATTAACTTGTCAAACTAATTGTTGTTCTTAACTTGAATGTGGACCAAGCTGGCCAGCCCCATCTCCCCATCTCTCTCTCCTTCTCTCTCTGCTATCTCTGTCTCTGTGTTAACCCCCCCATACTCTTCGATAAAGTTTATATATTTATATCCTTTACTTCCGGGAGAGGGAGGAGGAGCCGCTAGCCAGCCAGAACTGTTGTTTATGTTTAAGTAACCGTAGACCTAAGCGATGTGCCCGGCGTGTCCTTGTAGCGGATGCCCGGCTCTATTAACCACTTTGACACTGTGATAATGACAGCCATTGACAAATCAACAACACTGATAAATATATTCAAAATATAATACAAAATCCAAGCGCAATGATACTTCTCTATAGTTTCTTTGAGATGAGAAACCGAATTCCATCCCAAAACTCCATAAAATCCACTCTTCCCTAGTCCCAAAATCCACAATTCCCCCACAGTTATCCCAAAATTCCCTCACTCCCAAAGTTCAGGTCTAGATCGACACACACTTGTAGCCACTGTTTCTGGTCTTTCAGCCAGGTAAGCCCAACATCCAGCTCCGAATATCCATCATCCTCAGAGATCGCCGTCGAATTCCAAAGTCAGTCTCATGCTCATTTGTTAAATGTCCGTTTAGGGAGAATCTCTATAATGAATGCTTGTATTAAAACCCGAGTGATGTCCCCCCGAGAGCTGTGTAAAGTGATAATGATACAGATAAATTCAAATAGTGTTAGGAAGAACATGAAAAAGTAATTGAATTTTAGAATATAAATTAAATAACCTTCAATGTATGCTTAATTTAACATAATTCCTGTAGAAGATAGCTTACTAACACCTGTAATAGCACTTGTAGACCTAGACTTTGATGAGAGCCATTTTACACAACTCTCTAAACTCGCCTCAGCATGATCTTACTTTGTCCTTAACACCACTTCATGTACAATAATCTGTCTGTAAAATACCTTTGGCAATATAATCCCACCGGTCTCCTAACCACTTTTATGTAAAATAACCGAATAATAAATAAATAAATATCCTTCTAAGAAACTTCTCCCTTTCCAGTTTGTTCTCCCTCGCCCTGCGAATCAATTGCCACCCTGACCGACGACGAGCTGGCCGAGGATGCGGATCTCCCGGAGGAGGATGAATCTCGCAGTGCGGACAACGAAAGTCCCCACTCGGTGTCCACGCCCATTAATGAGTCCAGGGAGAAGCTGTTCCCAACGGTGGCCACCTCCAGTCCGGCCACGCCCACACCGCAGCACCTGTTCAACGAGAACTTTGATGAGTTCTCTGGCAGCCAGTCCACCGCCCAGCAGCAGCGCAGCATGAAGAGCTATCTGCACACCTTCGACCGGAGGAACTCGGATACCACGTACCTGTTGGGTCGTCGCAGTTCCGGAGAGCGTGTGAATCTGGCGGATGAGATACGGAAGCTTTCCGATCACCTGCTCATGCTGGCCGAGATCAACACCAAGCTGGGAGATAACAACAATAATAATAAGAGTAATGAAGGAACTCCGGCTGCTCCAGCTGCTCCAGCGGCTCCAGCTCCTTCAGCTCCTCCTCAAGCTGCCGCACCCTCAGGCGGCAGTTCTAGTAAAACCTCCGAAATCAAGCAAGATGGAAATAGGTGGACCAGTAAATCCACCAGCAGCAGTAGCTGGAATCGCCCTACTTCCACGGGAGGATTGCTCAGCCAGGCCAGCAGCACTTCAAAGAGTCAGAGCAGCTACGACGATGGCCAGGGCAAGACCAAGATTAGTTCCCTGTCTGTGAGACTGCAGCAGTCCATCGAGGAAACGCCCAAGCTAAGCAATGGCACTAGCTCCGCCAGCACCAAGTCGCAAGTGCAATCACAGCGCAGCGTGCAAACTATGTCCAGTTCCAATGCCAAGAGCATAACCAGCCAGCATGTTCAAAGAACCAGTACCACCTCATCGAAGGTTATCTCCAGCACTAGCAGCACCAGCAGCCACCAAATGTCCAGTGCCAGCAACCAAATCTCCTCCAGCTCTAGCAACCAAGCTCACAGCGAATCAGCCAGCAGTCGTCGCGCCAAATTCCGGATAAATCAAATGAGCCGCGACGTGCCCGTCGGCCTGCCGGATACCCACCAGACCGTGAACCTGGAGGAGGCGGCCAACACCACCAAAGATTGCCTGCTGCATTTGCTGGAGAAATACAATGAGACGCGAATCCGCAATCCGGTGGGGCGTCACCAGAGCATCAGCGTGGACTGGCATGTCAGCGACAATCTGGAGTACCGCTCCATGAGCTCCATCAATGCGTTCTTTCAGCGCCACAACCACAATGGCGGCGGACAGAACGTGCGGCATATCCAGGCCCAGCTGGAGGAGAAGGCGACGGGGAAGCAGTAGGAGTCCACTGTATATATATTCTACATATATATTTTTGTATGTATAGGACAGATCAAGTAAAGCGGGTGCTCATATCTAGTTAATGGAACTTAGGTAAAACTTCGGCGTTGCAAAGGAAACAAATTAATATTTATGTACTTGATGTAAGCAATAAAACCAAATAAATCAAAATAAATTATTTGAATCAACTGAAAAGTAAACTATAGATATGATTTATTATTTCCATATTCAAGTGCCTTTGTTTTTTAAATAAAAACAACACTTCAGTTACTACCAACTAAAAAAATCAAACAATTTATTGCAAGAAAACAAATATCAACTTATAAAATGTACAAAATTTGTTAATTAACTACAGTTTACAACTACAGCTACAACCAAAGCAATGGGTAGAAATCATAATTAATAAATCAATAACAAACAATCATTTAAATGACTTTATGCAGCGATTTTTTTTTTCTTGTTATGTTTTTTAATTTTTATGGAGAACAATGCGCTTTGTGTTTCGTTTTTCTGTTTTTTTTTTTCGTTTTGTTTATTGAAGTGTATGAGTTGCGTGTGGATGCCTTAATAATACATAGAATATCTCTATACATATAAATATTAGGAGAATACTTTGGATTTTGTTCTTAGTTAGGCCTTACTTACAAATAGATGCTTTGTATAAGTGTTGTAAAGGGATATAGGCTCTGCCTATGTGTATAACTATAATAATCTAGTATTTGTACATGATAGTTTTCAGGCAAAAGTGTTTTCATAATTTGCCCAGAGATCGGTCGTAGCAAATCATAAAAGACATTTTTACCCCATTTGTTAGGAAATGAGAGCGCGACAATTCGTGTGCATTTGGCGGCATACATAAATAAATATATAAATGACGTTCAAACGTGCAGAAATTGACAAAACTAATTCAAAGTTATTCTTCTTTTCCACTGGTCTAATTAAGGACAATGTTAGTCGCAGGTGGCAAAAGCAAGGCGGCAATGAGCTGCAAAATACACAGCTCTCATTGGGGCCTCGCTTTAGCACCCGTGCAAAATGCAGGACAAAATTCAATTCTGCTCTGCTCTGACCTCTGGTAAACTCCCAAAGCAGAGCAGGGATGAGTTTTGTTGTTCTCCAGGCAAAATTCACAAGCAAAAGTTACTGGGGGAAATTTCGCTGGGATTTAACAAAGTTATGTAAAGTTAAGGTAAAGTATTTCATCGTTATAAAGGTTACATTTCGGTTGGCTTCAAGATAGTTAAGACTAATTCCATTTAGCTTGCGGTCTCTTCCTCTCTTCTAGTTCAATAGTTGGTTGTGGTTGTTGTTGTTGTTTTTGTTAAGAACTAATCACTTAGTTTATGGCATTTCTCACTAGAGAAATCTAAAAAGTTTCATTTAGCTCGAGCTTACTGGTGCTGGCTTACAACTAATTACTGGTTACGAGTAGTTGAAGACTAACGATTAATATTCGCAACTGTCGCCCTTGCACTGCATATAAAAGAGTTCGTAATTATAAAAAAAATTAGAAAATACTACACAATCGCAGTGACTTGTAAAAAAATCAAATAAAATTACAAATTGCAATTCGTTTGCCCCGCTGCTCTTCAGTTGTGACGCGGACGCTTTAGCATCGCACCGAAATGCGCTCCTAGGCCGAATCCTGCGCTGCCGCTCGAACTGGAGCCCGACGTGGTAGGTGAGCTGGTGCGCAGGCGTTTTACGGGCGACGACAGTTTCTTGGGAGCCTGGGCGAGACGCTTGCGCTCCTTCATGAATTCTGCAAGACAAATCAGAGAAAAGCTTGGTTATAATTACGTGTTATTGGTAAATCAAAAAGTCAGCTGCTGCACTTCCTCTTCCGGCCTGCTCTGTCCCATGTCATTGATCCCAGAGAAACAGCAGGCGCCGCCTGTTTTTGCACATTTTGATTTCGGTCTCGGGTAGATTTCCAGATTGTGGCACGTGGCCGGCAGCAGTTCCCTAAAGAGGGTAGCTGCAGAGGAGGGTCCATTCAGGGGTAGCAAATAAATGCCAGACGGCAGCCAGACAGTCGGTCTTCAGCCGGTTTATTTAGTTTGGTTTTTTCTCTGCTCAGGTAGCCAAGTGAAAGCAAGAGTGGTGGTGGTGGTGCATAGCTGCATAAATTACACGCTCTCTAGCTTACTGGCCAAAGTAACAAAAAAGTACATCCAAGCTTTAGCAAGTCGGGGCTTCAAGGGCTTCTTCTCCCAACTGGCCACCCAATGCGGGTGCATTTATAATGCCCCGAACAGACACTTTTTATGATTATAATTACACATGCAGTATGTGCGACTGGCATACGTATATATACCAACGAAAAAACAGCGGAGTACAAAGCAATCAAAGGGAGGTTTGATAAGGCCACGGACTCTGGATGGTGGTGCATTGAAAGCCGATCCCCAGACCCCTCTCTCCTTCATCCGCTGTGCGTTTTTCGTTGCTCATAATGAGGTCAGGCCATAGACAAAGCGGAGTCACAGCTGTTGGCATTTATAGATGCAGCCCAGCTAACCCGCATGCGATCGATCTAAAATGGAATTCAACCCCCGCTTAGCTCAGGATCAGATCAGAAACGTTTCCGAAACACAGCTGCACTCAGCTTTGGAGTTCCCAACCTTTTTAAAAGGAAAATAAATCTCCCACAAAGCATTCGCTAATTGCTGTAATTTAGGTTTAAGTTCCACGAAGAAACGCCCCCAACTAAAAGTTCCTATTCAGTGAATGGAAAGAGGGAGTAGGGAGTAGCCACAATATGGGAAACCAATTTGCTGTCGATATTTCTTTGATGTAGTAATATTACCACAACATTTTAAATAATACTGCAAACACAATGAACATATTTAGCTTTTAGACTGTAAATTGAATCCCCAAACCAAAAACCCATCCTACAAATTTTAGTTAAACCACCACCTACCACTCCCCCGCTAAATTAAAATAAAATAAACCTTGGGAACCGGAAATAAACAAAACTGGATCGCGAAAAGTACTGAAGCCCATGGGAAACCAATTTATAACGGCTATCGGAGGAGTGCAATCAAGCCTGACCCTGGGAACCGTCAAGCTCGGCTGATCAAGCCATATATGTATTTAAATGTATAGCAACCCCCGGGTGAAACTCACCTGTGATTTTTGGCTGCCGCTTGCGCAGGACTATCGAGGACGTGCTGCTGCTGGCCACATTACTGCTCAGGCTGGAGGTGAACCGCGACACGAGCGACTCATCCTGTGAGTCGTAGCAGGAATCGTTGTCAGTGTTGGACTCCAGCGAGGAGTTGGCCAGATGGGTGCCAAAGTTCTCCCGCTCGGAACGCTCGTTCATCCGCACGTCCATGTCGCTGGGACTGCTCTCGGGACGGACGTGGGCGGCACGGGTGAGGGTGTACATCTCCGGCGCAAAGCTGGACTCCTGGAAGCTGACGCGCTCCCAGATGAAGGAGGATTTTTCTGCCAAAGGGCATCCGGCGCGGAAGTCAAAGCCCCACTTCTGCGTGGCCATCTCCTGGTGGCGCTCCAGTTCGGCATTAAAGGGCCTGCAACAGAGATTAGGGGTTAGGATTGGATAACAACTCCGAATTGTGCAGGGAAACTCACGTTTTGTTGGCTGCGCCCTCCGTGGACTTGGAGCTGCCGAAGAGGTCGCGTTTAATGCGATTCAACTGCCGGCCGCATGGGAGATTGCGGCTCACCGCCGGACTGCTGCTCATCTTGCAGAACTCACTCAGCATCACTGGGTTCAGAACGCGTGCACTGACCATGTCGACTGTATTCGTTTTGCACTCTCTGTTTTGGGACGCAGTTTTCTCGCCTGCGCTTTTTGGCCACTTGTTTGCGAATCTCACGCCAAAGCGAACTGTCAAAGTTTTGGCGCCAAAACTTTGTTTTCTCGCTGCCCCAAAGAGTGGGAGAGCGTAATAGTGAGAGTCTCCAACAACGACGAATCACAGTCTCCACGCGAGTGTGTTTGTGTGCGTGTCAGTGGGAGAGCGAGGCTGCGTTTGTGTGCGTTTTGTGTGGCAGCCTCTTTTGCGTTTTCCCAATTTAAAAGTGAAATTTCACACAGCAATTGTTTATGAAATAATTATAAACAAAAGTACTTGTTTCTTAGCACTTGGTTTCGGGTTTAGTCGTTTTAGTCGTTTGCACAGATAGCAGCACTGCACTCACAAAACTATGGTTACGAGTGACGTAGTGTCTCTTTCGAGCGAGCACTGGGTACTGTGAGTTAGCTATTGCCTTCTGGCCGCACTATTTGTGTTTTATTTATTTGTACAACTTTGGCGTTGTAGTAACTGCGTTTATTGACTATTTTGTGTTAGCGCACAGCGCGCTGGGCTAGTGGTTATAGTGCTACCGATCGGGGCGAACCTCTCTGGACGAACTCCGAGAAACGAATAATAACGACAGAATAAACAGCCAGCGAAGAGACGGATCAAAAGCAAACGTCAAACAACCACCGCGCGACGTTGCCAGCTCGAAGCGGAGAGCCGTTCGCGCTCTCTGTGCAGCAACCCTCGAATTCAAAAACCGATCGGAGAGGAAGAAGCACCACGATGGGGCGAGGTAGAGAGAGTGAAAGAGAAGGCAGTATAGGCTGGACTGCTTCGTAAGACTTGAGCCTAACGAAAGGGCAATGCACTTCCTAGGATTCATATGCTGATTTTTATAAAGCAATATCATTGATTTTAAAGAAATGTAAAACTCGACAAATATGCAATACTTAGTTTTGTCTCCAATCATAACTGCAGAAATATGAATTAATTAATCCCGGTATCAAGAAAAATATACAGCTTGCCGCCAGCTTAAGTGCATCAAATCGTCGGCTTTAGCTCAAAACTTCATTGCTCCCTGTCTCATTCCCTATCGCTCTCTCTTTCTCTATTTCTCCCTTTCCTTCCTCGTGTCCGTGTTCTTCTGTTTGTTGTTGCTGCATCGGTGGAGCTGTACTTTTGAACGCGATGAGTTGATAAAATAAAAAAATGTTTTGGCTTCGGTTTGTTTGGCTTCAAACTGGATTTGTTGCTGTCCAAGGGGCGTGGCAGAAAGGGGTTTTGGGATTTGGGGCACGGTTTCTTTTCACTTTCCTCCCGTTGCCAAGGGGAAAATCGCTTGCAATGTGGGGCATTGGTTCAGAAAGCCAAGTTCTATCCGAATTTCCTCATAGAGTTGCCATGGAGATGATATTTTAAAATTTCCGTTATGCCTCACAATTTTATTTCCAAAGTTTTTTGCCATTTCATGCTGTATTTTCCGAATTTCCCCTGCTATTTGTGTGCAAAATCGTAAAAAATTAAATTACACTACCAGAAGCAATAAAACGAGATTTATATTGTTTGCACAAATCCAATTAAAGCCTTAAAGAAAAGAAAAGGAACAAAACCTTGGAAGTCAGATTTCGGGGACTAAAGACATCATTTGCTTTGTCCCTTTGCACTCGACGAAATAATGGGAAAACCTATTGGCTTTTCCACACAGAAACCGAGAAAAAAACAAGGAAAAAACCGAGTGCAGTCACCCCAAAAAAAGGCAGACGATCGTTCGATTAGGCAGCATCATCTATAGATCCCATCCGAGCCGCTCCGATCCTGATCCCTTGTGGTTCGGTTTTCTGTTTATGGGACACACCCTCCTCGTCGCCAAAGGAAAAGCGACGTGAATTTACACACTTTTTAACAAATTTGAGAATTCTGCTGGCGTTCCGTCGGTTGCAGTCATGCCTGAAAACATAAACAACTCAAGAAAAGGAGTTATTCGAAGGGGGAAAGGGTTCGTGATCCCTTTAAGTAATTTCCTCCCAAGCAGGATATCCTGGTATATATGGGTTGTGTCAACACACGGAAAGGAGGCGTTGCAAAGAGGTGGAAAACACTTCAGGAGCAGTTCTCAAGTGTCCCCGTTTATAAGGGCCGAGATCTGAAAGGATTGTCGTGGAACGTGCGGGCATTAGATGAAATACTCAAGGTATTCAGTTGATTGGATACACTAATGCTGGTTGGAATCGGATCTTATCTTTATACGTCTAATATGCACTTAACAATATCCCACACTAAGCCGATAAGGCCTTGGACAAACATCATCAGCGTTTCGAAGGTCGCGGTCTGTAAAACACTATCTATCTCGGTATCTATTGAAAAACTCTGGTCTTGTATAAAATATACGTTACACTCATTTGGAATGCAACGCTCCTTATCGCCTCAGCACACTGCCTACATTCCACCCCAGGAGGAGGTCCAAGATATCCCACTCTATGTCTATGAACACCACAGGAACCATAGGGTCTGTAGGAACCAAGAACTAAGCTCGATATGCTGCCACGTGTTCCGGGTGGGGGTGCAAATGTTCAGCGAGCATGACCAAGCGGCTAAGTAACGCCCGAAATGGCCGTATAAGATATGTATTTCAAAATTCTCGGTTCCGTAAGGAAATTACCATAAAAACTGTTCAGCTCACGGAACTGTGACCGCAATTTCGTAAAATTTGCTAGGCAGGTGTGCTATGTTTAAGGATATTTCAAGGGTTCGGCCACAACTTACAGTGGGTGGGCATCGCTATGAAATAATGAGTAATATTCGAGTATCCCTAAATAAGAGCTGAAGAAGAAAATACAAGAAATTAATGGAATCTTACTATAAAAAGGAAACACTTTTGTTTAAAATTTACCCTCTAACTGGTTTTGATTTTATATGACTTAGGATCCAGGTAATCGCTTTTTAATTTATAGAAAATTATATTATAATGAATAATAGTTTGAGCTGTGATTCAGGCATTAATTATCCTAATATCTCTTGCCAGGCCGAACCCCTTCATTTTAACCGTCAGAGGATCTCCTAAGCAGGAAACCCATTTATAAATATATCTTACAAACCAACCGTAATCACAGTGATCCCTATCAAAACAGAAACAGGCCAGGCGATCTCAAACTCATACTCCAAGTGTTACAAAGCATTTCTCCCTGGCAAATGACCAATCATTAATATTACGAAAACTCTGCCCAGGACATTTATAAATGACTTTTACTTATCTTAAATCTTTTGCTCGGACAAATTGCGGTCAGATCGAGATGTTATTGATGGATTTCTTGAAAGTGGATTGCAAATAGCCGGGGCAAGTATGCAAATATTTAGACTGGCTACCGTTGAAGCTAATCCTTGGCTGATCCTGCAGCTACCGTGCTACTTCCCATTGGATTCATCAATCAAAAGATAGCCACTTGTCCTGACTAGCATGACAACTCAACTTTATTGGAACAGTCAGCAGTCTCGGCGGACAAACACACACGAGAGAAGGTTGTGTGAAAAGGTTCCTCTGTTCCTGGTAAACGCGTGGAAAACGTGTTTCGGAAAATACGTTGGCCCAGCGTGGTGCGAGGAACTCGTTTTATCAGCTAAAGAAATTATAAATATTTATGGAAAACCATTTGAGGACAGCAAACCCAAAGAAAGATAAACAAACAGACGCTTGGAGTCAAGAAGTTGTCAAATCTCAGCGTATCTTAGGTCAGGGAAGCAGGGCAGATCACTCAGAGAGCTGCTGCACATGTATCTTTTCGTTGCTGTTGGTATTTGATTTTGCTATCTCTGCCGGCGAACTACCCCAAAAAAAATGAAATTGGAGGGAACTCAGTTTTGGATACATATTCGGCGCATAATGGACCCAGGGGACCCCGACCAAAGTCAAATAATAATAAAAACGCATTTATGACTGCATCGGGTGAGAAACGCCATAAAGCAGCGATGCAATCAGCGGCGGTGATCGTTCAACGAAGACAGAAATAACCAAAATCCTTTCCCAAAATCATCCACAAAACAGGTTGGAAAGGAGAGGGGGACATGTCTGTAGGTACGGCAGGTAGATTGCCGGTTACCTTGGGGTTTTCGATCACAAGACAATTTTATTAGACCCTTTTCCCACTCCAACCGTGGACAGCCAGCAGACACAACGTGAATTAGAATCACAGCCGGGTACAGTTGATCCTCTGACTAAGTCAAGTCTTCTCGGCTAACTGGGAGTGATGCTTAAGTAATTGGCTTTAGTAATATGCTCAAACACATAATATATTCTAAAATGGATTTTTTACAACCTCATTTACAAATTGGGAAACTCCGCAAGCTTTTCGATTATCCAAAACATAAAGGTGGTTACATTTGTGTAGTAGGCCTTTAGACCTCGCCCACAGGGCCAACTGCCCCAGCTAGTGATTCCAAATTGCACCTGACGTCTTGCTGAGCCAAAATACAAACTCTGCCAGGCTAGCGGCCCACCAGAGTCGCCTTTGCAAGTGTCCTGAATGTCACCGTTGGTGCACAAAAACGATTCATGGGTATCCGCAGAGCACTGCTCCGTATTAACATAGACCTCCATCAGGGTATCGGCAAGGCGGAGCTCCTCGGTTTGTCCCCAGCCCATTGCCAAGTAGGATTGCCCCAGGACTGTGGTATACTCCAGAAGTTCCGCTGTCAGTGGAAGGCAAATGGGTCGGATGTGATCTGAAGATAAAATGGTTACTTATTATCAAATTAATATTCTTATTTATTTTACTTACCTTTGAAGACTACCCCTTGGCTCAATCTCAGCAGGGCAATGTCATAGCCATGGTAAAAAGGTGAAAATCTTTCGTGAATTACAGTCTGATCGATTTCAAAGTCTTCCACAGGCGGAGCACACAACTGTTTTTGATCCGCCGAAATGCAGTCTTCACTGGATGTTATATTGTGCTCTCCCAGTCGTACTCTTAATCTGTTCCAGAATCAGTTTTTATAAGACTTGGAATAAGTATTACTGACATTATAGAACTTACGCGTTTGAGTTATTACACAGTTTAATGCAGTGGGCAGCAGTTAAAACAAATCCTTTAAAGAATTTAAAAAGAAATTTAAAATTGATCTAGAGCACATAAAATACATACTTTCCGAAATAAGAGTGCCTCCACAGCGACAAGCATCCATATCACCTGGAATAAAGAGCAGCGCCATCCAAGGCTGGGACATCAGGGAGACCCTTCGGCCATTCGTGACCCGATGACGCAGTCTTTGGACTGGAATGGCATTTGATAAGGTTCCGCAGTCCAGTTTTTTTAGTTTCTGATAGACAATGTTTTCTCTGGGAGTTAAAGTTGGAATTTCAGCTCGAATCGGGGTTATTTGGTAAAAAATAAACCCAGCAAAAATGACAAGCAAACCGTTCATTGTCCAAGCACAAATGGAAAGCAAATGAAAGCTTATCAAAACATTGCTTATCGCAAGCAGAGACGAAGAGCAACGCTCAAAGAAATGGAAAAAAATATATTGTTAAATAAGTAATTAATCTGTTTTTATAAAGAGAGAAACAAAGACTCTACGACAGTAAAAAACAAAATTATTTCAACATATTTCAAGTTATAAAATTTAGTTCCCAGAAAAAAGACATTTCAATATATTTATAAATATAATTAACCCCTGATTATGGGCATCACGTAGTTCTTAAACAAAAGCATCTGCTCATTGGGGTCTTGCATCAAATGAATAGCTAGTTTCTGGATTATCCAAGGCATATAGGGAGAAACTGTGGTAAAGAAGGCTCCAGCTCCTTGGCCGCAAGCCCAGTTACCATGGCTAATAATACCGAATTGCACGTAGCGCTCAGAGCCAAAGAAGATACTCTTCGACGTCAAAGGACCGCCCGAGTCGCCCTTACAGGTGTCCTGAATGCGACCATTGGTGCACAGTACATTCTTGTTATTATACTGGCTTGGACACTGGTAGTTTCTAAAGGACATTTCCAAAAGCGTATCTGACAGTCCACCTAGTTCCGTGGTACCCCAGCCATTGGCAATGTAGGACTGCCCCAATTTAAAAGTTTTCATCCGGAGATCGCTTGTCAAAGGCAGGCAAATCGGACGAATGTGAACTGCAAAATAAAAGCTATATATTGTTTCATTTAGAATACTAAACCTACCTTGGGTTATCACATTCTGACTCAGTTGCAAAAGGGCAATGTCATTAATCTGCTTAAACAGCGAACATTTCTCGTGGATTATGATTTTCTCAACATCAAAATCCTCAACTGGTGGTGAACAAATCTGTCTTCCAAAACCAAAAAGGCAATCCTTTGATGATGATAAGGTGTGCTCACCCAAGCGAACCTTTATTCTATAAAAAAATATTGCATAATAAATGTTGTTTATATTATAAACTTAATTTATTTGAAACAGGAAATGTACTCACTCATTTTTTCGAGGACACATGACCAGGCAGTGAGCAGCGGTCAAGACAAAGCCTGAAAAAAGAGAAAATCATGTAAAAACTTACAAAGTCCTTTAAAGACTATTTATCTCCAATACGTTTTGTGATGAGGCTGCCTCCGCACCGACAGTTTTCCATATCGTCGGGCAGGAAAAGAAGCGCCACCCAGGGACGAGTCATGACCCGAGTCTTATGGCCGTTGATGCCCATAAACAGGTGCATAGTGGGTTCCATTATCGATAAGACCGTTCCGCAATGGTCTTGCCTCAGCTCATTCCAGATCCAACTCTCTGCTTCATTTGTGGAAAACTGTGGCTTTACCGACTGAACCAGGAAGAGAATACTAGAGATCAAGACCGAGAAGTTCATGCTGTCAGTCCCGATTTAAAGCTACTGAAAGCCCTTCTAGCTAGCGAAACTAATTAAGCTACTAAGCGGATTATAAATCACCCGGTCAGTGAATTATTATCCGATTCCAGGAAAAAGTCGTTATCTGTTGAAAAATTGTAAACAGTTGAATCTGTATATTGACAATAAACAGCATATAAAATCATTTCAGACAGAGATCATTACAAGTCGAGATAACGCAAAGGTTAGTGTTAGTAGGGCTCATGACTGACATCGCTTGGGTTTTTTTGCTCCCAAAGGGTGATCTGTCCGGTGGCCGAGGAACTCGCGCACATCTTTCCATCCGGACTATAGGCCACACAGCATACTCCCATTAGGCTATAGATGTCCTGCAGCTCGGTGGTGGAGTATTCGTACTTGTAAATGTCTCCATTCCTGGTGGCGCATATGAATCTGTCCTTGGAGGGATGCAGTGTGGCTCCAGCCACCTTGAAGCCCATCTTGCGGTGTTGCAACACCTCGAACTTATCAACGTCCAGAAAAACCAGGCTGCTGCCATACGCCAAGGTGACTGTCTTGCCATCTGGATGAAGCTCCAGCGACTTGGCATGATGCGGCAGCTCGATCGAATTCGTCTCCTGGCCACTCTGGCGATCCCACATGCGCACCGTGCGATCATAGGACGAGGTGAGCAGAGCGCGATCGTCCCTGCAGAAGATCACATTCCTAACGCCACGCGTGTGACCCAAGAAGGTTTCCAAAGGGTTCTGATCCGACGCCTCCACATCGAAAACGGTGACATAGTGTTCCGAGCCCCGGCAACCGGTCACCATGCGAGTGGATCCCCCATCTAGCTGGACACAGGTCACTTCGCCTGGCTGCGTGAAGCTCTTCAATTCGAGCCCAGTCAAAGCATTCCAAATTCGAGCGGTTTCATCGGCACTGGAGGTGGCCAGGATGGAGGCATCGGCATTCAGGCACACTCCCGTCACTTCGCCTTGGTGTCCGTCAAAAGTGTCGATCCATAGGCCGGTGTCGCCATGACGCAGCATTGCCAAGCCATCGAGACCCGCCGAGGCCAGGTAATAGCCCGATTCACAGTTTCTGCTGTAGGATAGCTGAACCACGGAGTCCTGGTGTCCGCCGCACTGGATGCTTACTTGTGCCATTTCTCGATTCATTTTTCCTCACAGAAAGATTTGTTCCTTGCCTAAGCTTGTTATAACGTTGGAATGAGTTTTTCGCACTGAACAACTTGTCATGTACTACAAGCACAATGTCGGGGCCTACTACGAGAAAGCTTGTAGTATTTTCTTTTAAACCAAGTGAGCAGGAGATTTTAACATATTTTTATTATCTATGCAGCTCCTCTTAAATACTGGGTATATACGATTTCACCTTGTCATAATGGGAAAATCTATGCTGACGCTTAGCGTCTTTTGGATCAATCTTTCAGTCAAAATAAAGCTTACAAATACATTTACTCTTGTAACATAGTGTTTAGTCCTGCCTGGAGAATACAATTCAAATTATGTTCGCAGATCTCCACCTCCGCTTGATTTGGTTAATGGAGAAGTGCGCTCGAAGATCGAGACATCGGGTCAACGTCCCTTGAGGGTTCCACAGCTCCCTTGCATATACAATATTTCCATGCCAACATTATTGATTCGTAAGCAACTAAAATATGCACAAATCATTGAGCGTTTTCCCTTTTTGATTTCCATTTGAAAATGCATTAATAATAATTAGGACAAACATGAAAGAGTTTTTGTCAGGGAAATGCAACTCATCAAGATCTTAATGGTGTCTCTTTTTGAAAACGCAGAAGGCGACTGGCAGACAGCATTAGGGCGTGGTCAGCAGGAAGCCTTGATTCATTTGTCAGTCGCCTCAGAATCCGAACATTAAGCAATTGTCCAGTGTCAGCGAAAAATGCAGCAGCAGCTATGGGAAATTAATATTTTCTTCTTGGCGACCATCAAAATATTTACTCGGCCCATAAAGTCTAATATTTTACGAGGAGCCAACGGAAAAATTCTTTGTATTTAATTGCATATAATTTTTATAGGGCAATGGGAGGAGGAACAGGAGTAGCCAGCGCCGCTGGGTGGAAATCAGCAAGGGGTAAGGCTGCCGCCACTCCCATTGATAATGCGCTGAGCAGACATCAATCTGTCTCAGAAACGTGAGTTTCCATTCTCATCCTCGCATCCACAAGGCACATTTCCTCTGCAAAAGTGTCAAGACAAATCAATAAACTTCTAATTTTATTACGGGCTGCCCGGGTTTTGGGCTTGGAGAGCGAACGGTACAGATACCGATCTGTCAATTTCCATTGTCGATGTGACAATTGATATCTCACACATCATTTGGCTCTAGTGCGCACAATGAGATTGTTTATGCCATTTTTGGGTAAGCGACGGCAACTTGCGAAAAATACTTCCCTTAGGTAGAGGGATTCCAAAGATCCTCATCATCTTTGCTTCCAGGTATCGGATTTTCACCTTTCACTATTTCCCTCGAGAGATGCTGCTTTCTTCCGTCTAGGGGTTGTCTCAACTTGCGGTTTTCCCTGAGAAATTGCCATGGTTTTTTCACATTTTCTGCTGGCATTTTGTCCACTTAACGCCGCTCTGTGGTCAGAGTTCAAATATGGGACCATTGACTAATGACATTTGTTTGCATAATCCTCCAATCAGCTCGGAATGGTATTTCTGGGTCATTTCAGCGGAGAAAGCGGGTGAAAAGGTCCTTTGGATAATAAGGTTTTTGACCTACTTTGTGGGGATTATAGGGGGTTTTTAGGAAATAAGAGTAAAAGTTAAATTTTCTTAATTTAGAGAGAGTGTATAATGAGTTTAATTTAAGAGATATTATTATTAATAGCTGTTATTATGAGAATTATAAATAGATTTGAATGTAGTAGAAGTTAGAGGATCGTTTATACAGAATTTCAAGAGATACATACTTATTATCTTCCTTTCAAACCCTTAAAAAATATTAATAACAATATCTTTCTTTTCTCCCAAGGAAGGACCTCTCTCTATCTCTAAAACTTTCCCATAACTTTCCCACTAAAATCCCCTTGTAAGACTCTTGTAAACCCAAACTAAATTATGCAAAGAGCAACGCTCTACATCATGTTAAGGACTTGCGTGATCAATCGCAGGGATCTTGGAAATTCTGACACTTTTGCAGGCAGAACAAAGGAGAAAGCGAAGGGCCTGTACCAGTTTTCGAATTCGAATTCGCCATGCCTGTCGCATTTGGACGTTGCTTTCGCCGATGATCTGGGCAGATCAATCAAAGTTGGTCACGCTGTCGGGAATTATGTCACTCGCTTACTCAAATTGCAACTCCAAGGACTACAAGGACGACATGAAGCGACAGTTAAACTGATTTGCATACGGGCAGCGGAGAGTTTTTCCTCGGCAGCTGTGACAGAGTTTTCACACATCACAAAAAAGTGGTTGGTTGGAAAACTTAGTTTGACAAGGATTCCAACGCTTTTCCGTGCATTTTTTCTACACTTTTTCCACAATTTTCTTCATGTACCCGCTGACAGGGCATCAATCATGGACTTTATGTTTGCATCTTTAAGGCAAAACTATCTTTTGTGATGTCTTTTGCAATTAAGTAAAGTCTGTTTAATTGGAAGCCAGGTTATTTGATACTTTCCCAACCCCTTACCATATTCATATGCTAATGAAAGCGAGTGAAAGCTAATACTTTGGCCTCAGGGCAGATGCGTGGAAACTCTCGTGGAACTTCCCTGGGTAAATGAGACATTTGAGGATAAATCGATCCATCCCTACGGTGGCCATATATCAATCAATTGTCCAAGGTCCATAAACGATTTTATAATGGCTTTCGGTGGACCAGGCACAGCTGCCCAAAAAGTGATATAAAATCATTCGATCGGCATACCAAAATCGCACTTTATGGCCATATTAAATTGCTTCATTCGAGAGGATCGCTCCCTCGTCCCTGGCCAAACAGATGTATATCTGGAAGGAACTGCCAAATTAAATCCTAGATTCGTGTAAGTCCGAGAATTATGGTCTACCCCTCGTCCGACACTTCCTGTGTGCCATCGCTACCCGCTAATTGCCCGAAGGATGCGACATCGCCAGGACAGGAAGCGGAAACTAAAGTGGACGTTGGTTGGGGGGGTGGAAATATTTCAGCGGCGCTCTCTAACTAAGCGACTAGCCAGCGGCAGGAGTCATAAAAACACACGCAATCTCCTTAAGCAAATTTAAATTACGTGAGCTCCGCTTCGCCCCGGGTGCATTCATTAAACGTCTGGCCGATAATTAACGCCCTTATGTCCCCGAAACATCAACAGAGGTCCCAGTTTGGCAAAAAGTGTCGCCGCCGTCGAGGGACATTGTCCGGCGTCCTGTCCTAGGGCCATTGTGACTAATTGATTCGCTCAAACAAATGTCCCGACGCTGCTACCCTCGCCCGACTTAATTTTCTATGGAATATATAGCTTGTTCTTTGCCAGGAAAAAATATTTGAATTTGCGGCGGCTAGTTAATAGGATTCTAATGCCGTTCTTGAGGAGATTTTGTGCAGGATACAAAGGGGAATTTGTCATGGGAAGGGATGTTGAAATGGACACCAGTAAAATATTGAACACAAATCAAAAGCCAGGGTAAAAGCATAAAATCAAAGATGAAATGTAGACTTCATTAAGATGCTTTGAAATTTGCAGTTTATTGCTGAAGGATTTACAGGGAATTAGTGAGAAATATAAGGGAATAGGCTTTGAATTAACTGCAAAGGATTCTTAAGGACTTTAAAGAATAATTTACTGGAAATTTACAAAAGAAACTTACACATAAATACGACATGCAGTTTAAATAAGTGTTTCTGGTCTATATATCGATTACATTTATTCATATATTTTTATATTATTAAATTAACATAGCTTAAGATTTGAGAAAATCAAAATACCAGCCTTAATAAAACGTTTAAGACAAATGAAAATATGTCCTTAAAACCCCACTCAAATTTCAAAGAGAAAGCACATAACTTCATTTTACTGACCATTTTAATAAAGCCAAAGGATTCTCTGGCCATTTATTTCATTTTATTCTAGGTAAGAAAATCCGGAAATCCTTTACCTGAATATTCCGTCCCCTTCCCCCGATTAGCAGCATCAAAACTGCCAGTTTTATTTTTAATAAAAAATTCTCTGGCCAAAGCATCTGCACAAAAGTTGGGAGATGAGTTTCCAGCAGCCATGTTTTTTTTTAGATTGACCATTGCCTGGCTCTGCTCTCATCTCGCAGGACCTGAAAAACCTCCTCCTGCCCAAAAGCCAAAGGAGTTATGACAACAAAAGGGCCTTGTAATCGGGAAATGTTCTCAGTGCCCCGAGTTTTCCAAACCCTTTTGTTTTTCCCACATGACACATAAATAACTGCAACTGGTCAGTGTCGGGTTTAGCTTCCGATTCAGCTTCGGATTCAACTTCAGCGTCAGCTTCAGCTGTTTTGTTAATTGAATCATTAGGGGTGTGGAACCAGAGACAATGCCTCCATAATCATTATGAGTGATTGCAGGCAGGCCGAAAGACAAAGGCTAGGCCTTAAAATGTATTTGAATAAGTCACCCAGCTGGCCGGCCATTTCACTCGTGTAACTCCAGATGCAATTCCCGGCGATCCCCTTGTAATCCTCTCTCGAAGGGGTTGGGAACCACTTGAGGAGCGGGTTTATCTGCGATGCCCCTTAAAGTCGGGTAGGAGTAGGATGTGACTTGAGGATTTTCCAGACTGATACACTCCAGTGCCCTAGCACGGGTCAATAGCTTCCTTCCGAGTGCAACGATATTATTTTTGGAGAGTGCAGAAGGTCGTGGGCCCTGCAAAGCGGAAGAGGATTTCAAAGGTAGCAAAGAATATTTTAGACATTTGTTGGGGTTTTATATATAATTTTTGTTATATTTTAAATAATATTTTTTGTTGGAAATCAAAGGTGGTTTGCTGTACTTAAAGTACCCCTTTCTTTTTTACCGCCTTGCTCTACTTTGATTTAATAAAACTACAAAATAGATACAACCTTCCCATGGACACTTTTTTCCTGCACAAAAAAAAAAGAAGAAACTTCTGTACAGAAACTGAGCTCATCCGGAGCAGCGGTAAGTTCATCTTTCGCCAGGCCCAGCTGTTGCCTAAGCTCGGTTTCACAGCCCCGAGACCCGGACTCAGTGTCAGTTTACGGCGCTG